GCCCCTGATCCCTCCGTCTCAGTCCAGCCATTTGCTGCCGCCGCTCACCATAGTCGTTCCGGACCTGTAGTCGGATGTGGAGGGGGGTCTTCCAACCCAGTCACTATGGCGAGTATCCGCATGGTATTGTTAATGTTCATTCGTTGCCTGATGCTTCCGTGATTTCCAGGGAGAACAGACGTTCGATTGTAAGCCGCAAGCAGGACATCGTGATTTTCTTCCAAAACGCCGGCGGAATGAATTCTGATGTTGACGACTACCGGCTTGCTGTATCGGATCGTTGCTATGATGTGATTGTCCTATGCGAGACGTGGCTCGATTCGCGAACGCTTTCCAGCCAGGTGTTCGGATCCTATTATGAGGTTTTTCGTTGCGATCGGAATCCAAACAACAGCCGAAAATCTACTGGTGGAGGCGTTCTTGTGGCTGTCCGTTCCGGATTGGAGGCGAGAGCAATCGAAAATGAATCGTGGAACAGTGTGGAACAGGTTTGGACAGCCATTAAACTGGGCGATCGCACATTATTTTTGTGCGCATTGTTCATGCCTCCAGATCGAGTTCGTGATCTTGAACTCATCGAGACTCACTGTCAATCAGTCTTCACAGTAATGGAAATAGCGACTCCAATTGATGAGCTATTCATTCTTGGGGACTTTAATCTAGCAGGCGTTTCGTGGAGACCATCCCATAGCGGCTTCCTCTATCCTAATCCAGAACGTTCTGTATTTCATGCAGGAGCTATCGGCCTTCTCGAAAACTATAGCGTAGCAACGCTTTCTCAAATTAACTACGTAGTCAACGAGAACAACCGTAGTTTGGACCTCTGCTTCGTGAGCACTCAGGACAATGCTCCGTTCATTTCCACAGCACCTTGTCCACTAGTTAAGCTTGTTCCACACCACCCTCCTCTGATTGTCACTGTTGAGGACAATCTCGTTCGTGATTTCGATAGTCTTCCTGCTGCGGTTTCTAATGACTTTCGAAAGGCCGACTATCGAAGCATTGTAGATGTGTTGTCAAACATGGACTGGGAGAACATTCTCGATCATGACGACGTTGAGGCCACTGCGCAAACTTTTTCTCATGTCTTGGCATATGTCATTGACAGACACGTCCCGAAAAGAATTCAACGCAAAGACTCTCACCCTCCCTGGCAGACGATTGAGCTGCGTAGGTTGAAGTCGACCAAGAGAGCAGCATTGAGAAGATTTACGAATTATCGCACGCTTCCTCTGAAACATCACTACGTGAGGCTTAATCACGAGTATCAGCGAGCCAGTCGTCGATGCTTTCTGCGATTTCAACGAGGTATTCAGCGTAACCTTAAACTACACCCGAAATTCTTCTGGAACTACGTAAACGAGCAACGCAGAGAATCTGGCCTCCCATCGTCAATGGAATTGAACAGTGAAGTCGCTTCCACTCCGCAGGATATTTGTCGCCTTTTTTCTGTCAATTTTGCCAGTGTGTTCACTGATGAGAGACTAAGTGACGACCATGCTTCCCTCGCAGCCAGGAACATCCCACTAAATGGTCAAACGCTGAGTGCAATTGATGTCAACGTTGAGATGATTTCTAACGCTGCAACGCAGCTCAAATCGTCCTTCAACCCTGGACCCGACGGAGTTCCGTCCGTGTTTTTGAAGAAACATATTGCTTGCTTGTTAACTCCACTTCACCGTCTATTCCGGATGTCTCTCTCCAGTGGTATATTTCCATCCTTCTGGAAATGTGCACACATGTTTCCTGTCCACAAAAAGGGAAGCAAACGAGCCGTGGATAACTATCGTGGAATTACATCGCTGAGTGCTGTTTCGAAACTATTCGGACTTGTTATTATGGAACCGTTGCTCTCTCACAGCAAGCAGTATCTGAGTGCTGATCGAACGCGTGAATCAGGTGAAAGACCTGAGTGTGGTGTTGGATTCACAGCTAACATTCAGGCAACACATATCTTATGTCATCGTCGTCTAGGACTTTAGGATTCATCTTCAGGATAGCTAAGAATTTCACCGATGTCTACTGCTTAAAATCTCTTTACTGCTCCCTCGCTTTCTTCATTTTGCGCTTCGTAGACTGCCCTGGAGAGATCCGCTTCGGCTGCCCAGCTACGAGAGTCGCTGCCAACTAATAAACCTTGAACCTCTCCGGATTAGAAGGGACACCAACAGAACTTTGATTATCGCCGACATTCTACAGGGACGAATAGATTGTGAGGCTATCCTAAGGCAAATTGACCTAAACGTGCAACCCCGACCACTCCGTAACAACCTCATGCTGAGACTGCCACTGCGTCGCACGAACTACGGGACATATGGTGCGATTTGCGGACTACAGCGTGTGTTCAACAGAGTCGCATCTGTATTCGACTTTCACCTCACACGTGATGCGCTTCGTCGGAGATTCTCATCTGTTTTCGCCGGCTGCAGAGAAAATTAGTGTATTTCCATTTATGTTTTTTTTTTTTACATTCTGACCATGTTGCTTTGTTTTTCTTTCTGTGATTATTTGACATGTAGTTTTACTATTATTATTATTATGATTAGTATTATTAACATCATTTGGGCTACAGCCAGCCTGTTGATGTATGGCAACAATAAATTATCGTCATTAAAGCCAAACTAAAACGTGTTGTATTTGTTAGCGATTTCATGAAAGCAAAATAGCTTTTTCACAATTTATGCCACCGCCATGTTGCTATTATTACATTTATTTTTTTACTTTCTTCGTTTTTCAAGATGTTTTTCCATGAAAATTCATTAATGAGCAGTAATAGAGATTCCGAAAATCATTAATTTATCTCGGCTGGATTGATTTATTGATATTAAACATAACGATACGTTGGTTACTAAATTAAAAATAATAAGATAAGTAAAATCAACGATTTCGGACCTATCTACCTACATTTGATTTAATCTGTCACCTAAAAATAGACCACAGAATGAGAACTGCTTTGAGAATTTTGGTAATTCTTTTACATTCGATGAGGAAATTGAAGATGATTTTTGAAAGATTAATTTTTGAACAATGAATTTGGCAAGATCTGATGATATTTATGTGTCCTTTTTATCTTGATTCATGCTATATTTTCAGTGCGGTAAGCAAGCGTCAAAGGCAAATGGAACAAGTATTGATGCCAAATGGCTTTTATTATAGTCTTAATAAAGATTTCATATGGGTTTCAATGCTTTCACCGTATAACCTTTTTGCAGCAAATCAATCTTGAAGTGCCTCGAAAATATGCCCTTCAAAACCTTCTTCGGGGTAGGCCAAATAGACAGATTCTGGTCTTAATGAGGTTTTGGTGGATGTAATAAAGGCAATGCTGTCTTGACCTGGGTTTTATGAATGTTGTTTTATAGTAACCTTGTAGTATTTCATAAAACGTAAAATGTTACTTGGGATGGGACCGGGTGGAATTTGAATGTGAAATCTGTGTTAGGGAAAGCGTATTTTGCAGGCAACCGGTGATAATTTTGATCACCATTGCAACAGTTGAACATTTGTGTAATTTTCAATAGTGACCTATTGAAAATTGGTAAAGTGTAGAATTAACATCCATCCGTTATTGACAGAGTTATAAGTGGTCAAAACCTGACCACTTATCGTAACTCAATATGTTGCCGAAAGACGTAATCCTACTTCGAAAATAGTAAAATCGATAGCAGCATTAATTTTGATTTCAAAACATAAATATGTAAAAACAAAGATAATTCACTCTTTGCAAAACTGCAGTCGAATTCCGGCCATAAATTTCACCGAAGAGATATATATTTCATCTTCTTCGACCTTTTCTGGGACTTCACGCCGACCCTCATCATTTTGTTACTTCCACAGTTGTTAATTGATAGCTTAAGGCGTAGGGTACCATTTTTTAAATAGTATAATTGTGTGACAAGTATAATCTAACTCTTTTCCCAGGGATTTTGAGGAACTTTAAAACCCGACAAAATCATAGAGCGGACCAATAATAATAACTCTTGGTCCCAAAGAAACCTGATATTTCACTGTGATGTGATATGCAGTTTTATACTAAATGTTTGCCATAAGACCCCTTTCGTTAAATCAAAGAAGTAATAAGCAGGATAAAATTGTATCGCCTTAAAAAAAGAAGAACGTAGATGATCTCCCCAAAACACCATCACTGGTACGAAAACTAAGTTAACGATTGCAATATTGATTACAGTTTGTGTTATTTAAGGCAACGTTCACTCCACTGTGCGAGCCCCATGTGGTTTTGAGAATAATCAAGCGGCCACAAAAGCTCCCCAGAGGTTGCAGTTCTACCCACCTTCACAACACTCCATCAGGGAAAGTCAATAAAACGTCACGGCAGCGGCGATATCGTTCATCTGGAAACCAAGCTACTGTATGAACACAGTGGAATCCAATAGCTTCTTTCTGTATAGGAGCAACGTTGAAAAATCGTATTAAAAAGCAAATATGGGACTTTAATCGCTTATCATTTATCAAACTTGCTGTCGACGGTGGGGCAGATGGCAGTGGCTGTGGTATCACGAACTTCCCCAGTCAGTGCTCGTTAGCGTGGTGAGCAGGAAAAATCATAGGATATTCATCATCCTCCAAAATGGAGCTCCCCTCGAAAACGTTATCGCTCGTTTGTGTTCAACTTGCGTAAGCACACGGAATGCGACATGTACAAAGGTTCGCCGATCCGACTGTGGCGATGTCGACGACGTTATGACGTCGGTCAGGAAATGATGATGGAAAAAGGAACCAACGGTGATGGGTTTTTGTACTACATCTCCATCGAACGATTCAAGAACTGGGTGAAGTGAAACAATCGGTTCCATGTGATGTTGCCTCTGTAATATTGAGCAATGATTCACTTCCTCAAACAAGCATAAAGTGATTTTTAATGATGATGGGTTCACTTAAAAAAACATGATGGATTATAACGTATCTTCGACATTCCACGAATTCAGAAAATAAAATAATTTGATTGAACCTGTTCAAAGAAATATATATAGGTCACTCACCTAGATTTTCAACTTCACACGGAAGCACCAACGTATCTCCGACGACAGCCCGGTACGTGTGCCCTCGTGAGATAAACCGTGGTACCAGTCCGTTGTTTGACGAAGAAACGCTTTTACTACTGCTACCTGCAAAAATTGGAATAAAAACAAAAACTGCCATTAGTCACCATCCTCAACGCTCCTGCACACCTCTACGATGATGTGCAACGGCTGCTGAACAAAGAGAAGGAAAAGTAAGTGAAACAAGTCAGCAATGAAAGGTTTATATAAAGTTTTAAATCCAAAGCTGCCGATTAAAATGTTTTCCGAACGTCATGTTGTATTTTGTGCTTTTCTGTTCACTTTTACCATGCCGGAGTGTAGGTTTTAGGTAGTGATGTGAATGTACAATAATTTCTCTTGACTGAGGGAGAAATTGCGAATGTTTGCTCAGTGCTACCACCAACGCACTGTGACTGTCTGTACATAGGGAGAGTACCCTGGTAAAAACTACTTATAGAAGACAAACAAACGTGTCCGGGTGAACTAGCTCGGTGTTAGGAGTGATTGCTCCTACCAGCCACGTAGAGCCATCATTGGTTTGAAAAGTGCTGTTGTGTACCGAAGGATATAAAAAAAAAACCCTCAATAGGGAAGAGATTGAAATGGTGGGATGCTGGATTTAGCGACGGTGAAATGAGAGTTGAACGATTTTCAAAACTGCGAAATGGTAGAAAGGGGAGAAGATGCTTTCAGTTGATCATATGCTTGAAATGCTATTTTTCAAACGACGCATATTGCGAGAGATGATTTTTAGCATCGACAAACAATAATATAATTAGAATCACTTTCTACTCGGACTAACTTTTAATACCGACCCTGTTTGGATAATCTGCAAAATGTTTGTTTAGAGTCATGTTGATTAACTCTGAAGTCGACATCAAAGCAGTCGAACATTCTTGATAGGGATTTGATCGAAGGAGGTTACCACCATCAGAGACGATGGTTTAAAAGAGATGCGCGGAGAGAGTAAAAGTAAATATGTTTACACGGCCAACTAATAGCGAATTCAATTATTATTCAGTTCCAAACTGGATCGAGTATCAAGATTGGGTCTTCATTATTTTCTGACAAACGTCAGTTTGCTCGTTTGTTTTTAAAACCTAGCTCAGTTTGAGTTTCGCACTGATAAAAAGTTCAGTTTCACACTGGGTTGGGTGGCATCAAATTGCGGAAAACTATTAGCAGATCTGGGTGCAGTCTCCCTTAGCTCAGTCGGTAAAGGTGCAGCTACAAAGCAAGATCATGCGGGAGGAATTTTTCGGGTTGGAACATTTCTCGAATTCCCTGGGCATAGAGTATGATTGTACTTGCCACGAAATTATACTAATGCAAAAAATGGTACAGGCAAAAGCTCTCAATTATTAGCTGTTGAAGTGCATCTATAACACTAAGTTGAGAGCACGCAGTAGGCTAGTATGCGATAAGCAATAAGCTTGAAATGCGTTCCTGTTTTTGAAATTGTTGCAGATTTGAAGACCAAACAGATTTATGATGATGTAAAACTTTATAATATACAAGACTTGATTGATGATTTATACTTGTCATACGCAAACTTATGTATAATTATTTAAATCTCAAAGTTGTAATTTCAAACTCAATCTCAATACTTCCCACACTTTTCTTTGTGAAGCATTCGTGTTTATTTACATTGCTCGACGCGACGCAAGTATATTAATTATGAAGAGCTTTTTGAGATTGTTGATATATTTCCTTTTAATTCCGTTTTAATTGCTTAACTTTTGACAGATACGCGTATTTCATCTACTGCTTGTAGACTTCATCAGTTCCAAGTACTCAACTGTGATTTTGAATACTTGGCACTGATGAAGTCTACAAGTAATAGACGAAATACGCGTATCTGTCAAAAGATGAGCAATTATAACGGAACTAAAAGGAAATATATCACACTCAAAAGCTCTTCATAAAGGGATTCCATTAACAGGTTTGACAAAATTAAAAGATTGATACATTAATTTCATTATTAATACTTTTAATTACATTAATTACAAGTACTGATAGTTAATTTTAATTACCGTCAGTACTACTTCAAAACGCATTTATAACTTTGAATACTTTTGATTGCATTTTAACTTCAACGTACCGGTTCTTTGTATTGCGTGCCCCCTAGCTCAGTAAGAAAAAACATCCAGTTGCTGTTTTTACCTTGTAATTATATTAACAAATAAAACTATTGACAAATCATGATGTTCTGCTCATTTAGCAAAAACAGTCACTCTAAGGCCATCGAGCCCCTGATATCACATCATACCGTTTCTCGAGTTCATTACTAAAATTGGATATAATTGGAAAAACTGGTGTTCAAAACATCATGGGTATTATTGATTGATACCAGTGGCATCGCGTAACCTCACTTTTGACCTGTTCAACAACTTTGAAAACTTTATTACGTTCATGTTTACATTCAAATCAGTTTCAAAAGGAACAGGTTGACAGCAAACAGTAAATTTTACTATTACATCTAAGAGGATGCACTTCTATCATGTCGATAATATCATATAATTTTTATGGCCACAAAAATAAACAAACGCAGTTAAAGCAGCGTAATGTCAGTTCATGCACCTCATTAATGATAAGTTTGTTCTTTTTGGCAAGTAATATTACACAATATGTTCAATACTATTGAAGTGCATGCACTTTGCTATGTTCTTGTAGTTTCACTAATGTGTATCCATTGGAAGCAACATTTTTTCCTTTGCTTAAGTGTTGAGAGTTGATGAATAGGTAGATTGAGGCTAGGACGACGCCAATGATTGATACATATTGTTTGCTACACTAGTGTGCACAGGATTCTTGTTCAGGGGGGAGGGGAATTTTTTCTTCTATGGTGCATTTAATCTGGGGATGGGCTTCAAAGTACTTGGTGGATGGTGCTGTACATCCACCACTGTTTCCCTGCTGTTCAATTAAGCTTATTTTATTAATTTTTGGCTCCGGTGGTGGTTCATCTTCTGCAATGCAAACTGGTTTCAGACAGCCAATGTAATTGGCATTTTAATCCCATCGACGATGTCGATGATGGTCGGTTCGTCAAATGATTGCAATAATAACCGAAATGATACATTTGATCAAATGTTATTGCCTTAGTGGTTGGATTCAGCTGATGTCACATCAGAAGGTGGTGATAGCACCGACAAACCGACATAAATGACCAATAAGAATCGCATTCTCCTTTCGCATGCACACTGCGTCGACAAGTACAAGGTTCAAATAGCATAACAGTGAACAAACAGTATATTGTTCTTGATCAATCCAATCTTGATCAGTGGAGTTGAGTACTTGGCACTGATGAAGTCTGCAAGTAGTAGCCGAAATACGCGTATCTGTCAAAAGAAAACAAACCAACACACTCAAAGCTCTTCATAAAGGTATATTGCTGTTTTCGTGCTTGCACTTGGCTTGTACTCCAGCAGTGCTGCCAGCCATTGGGCTGGCACCGTCAAAATATACTGCCCACACCTGCTCCCAGGAAATCTGCATTGCTATCAGGACCTCAGCAATAGTATTGAAGATGGTTGTCGCGTCTGTTTTCAACACCCGTCTCACACCCACAAATGTTTCCGTCGGTCGATGACAATCGCCAACTGCTCGTGGTGGCCACAATCACTCGTCTCATCAGCAATGATTGCCACTGGTTTTCCTCGCAAGGTTTTCGCAACATTACATTGTGCAACGACGTAATCATGTCATTTTGAATACGGTTACTTGCGTATTAGCAATTTTTGACACCTTCCGCCAAGTGTTTTCCAGTACAGGATCGTAGTTAGCCACCAACTGGGAGGCACACTTTCCCAGAATGTTCACGAAGTGGTCGGCCACCTTTGCAAAGCATGCTCACAATATCGATGAAACGTTCCATTATATAGCGATTTTGTAGCCGCTTTGCCTTATACCCCATATATACTATGGATTATATTATGTAATATAGTCTGTCTTGCAATGAGAACTCATACATCTAGTTTTCACTGGAAATCATATATGTGACAGTCTATATTGCATGATATAAGCCATGGTCTGTACGGGGTATTATATGCTGTTGTAGTTGTAGCTACACTATACTACACTGAAACCTCCGTTTACGAAGTCATTTTTTACGCAATATTCAATTTACGTCCCTCTTTTTACGAAGTAAATCCCAAATAACGAGGTTTTTTTTTACGAAGTAAATCCCAAATAACGAGTTTTCTTTTTTCGAAGTAAATTCCAAATAACGAGTTTTTTTTTTGTGATTTTGGGAAACTGGGATATACTGTGAAATACCTCACAATATGGGTATTGTTGGAATTGGAGTGACGTGTAGGGACCGGAAATCGATGTCTGACGCCATTTTGAAATACAAGGTGGCAACTTCCGGTTACAGAAAAACTTGGAAATTCTGCCAAATACCCCCACAATATGGGTATTTTTGGAAATGGAGTGACGTCTAAGAACCGGAAATCGATGTCTGAAGTCATTTCGAAATCCAAGATGGCGGCTTCCGATTACAGAAAAATTGGCAAATACCACCACGTCACCCCGATTCTTAAGATACCCATATTGTAGGTTATGTAATATTACTTTAATGTTTTTATGTAACCGGAAGTTGCGATATTGAATTTCAAAATGGCGTCAGACATGGGTTTTCAGTCCTAATAGGTCACCCCGATTCCAAACAACCCATATTGTTGAGTATTTGACAGTATTTCCCAGTGTTTCTGTAACCGGATGTCACCATCTTGGATTTCGAAATGGCGTCAGACATGGATTCTCGGTTCTCACAGGTCACCCCGATTCCAAATATATCCATATTGTTGTGTATTTTACGGTATTTTTCTGTTTTCCTGTAACCGGAAGCCACCATGTTGGGTTTCAAAATGGCGTCAGACATCGATTTATGGTCCCTACACGTCACTCCGATTCCGAAAATACCCATATTGTGGGGTATTTGACAGAATTTCCATGTTTTTCTGTAACCGGAAGCCGCCATATTGGATTTTAAAATGGCGTCAGATATCGATTTCCGGTCCCTACACGTCACTCCGATTCCAAAAATACCCATATTGTGTGGCATATAACAGAATTTTGAA